TTGTCTCAAAAATAGTTGATGTTTATTATATATATATATATATATATATGAAATATAACATTTTAAAACATTTTTGTTAAGTTTGATTATGTTATTGTTTTGTGTCTGTTATATAAATTATTGCATAAAATTACGCTGTAAATGTTGTTGATTCGTTGTTTTGTATTTTTTTTAAAATTTACTTAAATTTTTCAATATTGCTTATACAATTTTTTGTGCCTTTTTTCCAAACTAATTCCAGTTTTATAAAATTTATTTATAACTTAAAATGGAAGTATAAATACTTTTTATATGTTTGAATAATTGTATTAACAACTCGAGTTGTTTTTATGATAAAAATACCAAAATTTCATGATCTTTATTCTTAGATTATTATTTGTTTATGTTATATTATCATTTGCTTCTAGGGATGGAAGAAACTATACTTAGTGGTCCAAAAAAAGATTAATGAAGCTACATAATTAAAAAAAATTTTTTAATATATTTTTATGCATATTATTTATCTTATTATTTATATTGTGCGGAGACTTATTTAAGAAAATTTAAGAAAATTATAGTTGTTAAGAGATTGTTATTATTATCTGTCAAATAATTACATATTGATATATGTAATATATGAATTTATTTATTAGTATATATATTACATTAAAGTAATGTGTGACACGAATAAAATCTTTATAATTGAGAGTGCATTATGCCAAATAGCTGCTTATAAAGCTTTTTCTTTGACATAACAATAAATTGTCGAAAGAGCATCAGCAGATCTTTTAGTGAAATCTAATCAGGATTTGTGTGCAGGAAAAAGGAAGATTTGAATTAAAAAAATGTTCCCTTTTCCTAATCAAGATTTGTCAAGTTTTAAAAATAATGGCAAATCTTTTGACTCATTGTTAACTTTAATACATATATTTATATATACAAATATATAACTGGAATAATGTATAATCGCTATATAATTATACATATCGAGTTGTTTTTTACAACTACCCATTCGTATAAATTATAAAATAAAAAATTATACGATGATAGTTTGAAGAAGAAAACATGACATATTTTTGTATTAAAATTTTCATAATGTATCGAACGAACGAACGAAGCCACAATTTTGATGGCGACGTGAAAAAGATAAATTTGATATTTTTATAAATATCACTTTTACAAATAATATCTGTGTTTTATTCTTATAAAAACAAAAATTTTCCATTTTCTTTTTTTCTCAATAAGGAATACGTTTATTATTTACGAGTGAAAAAAAAAAAAAATGATACAAAAATTCAACCTACAAACAAAATTTAAATAATCAAGAAAACAAGCATTACAAGCATGTACTTCGCCTCGAGTGTTTTAAAAGAGAATTTCAAACATATATTATCCGCGATTCTATCTTTAACAACGTTGTTTTTTTTTCCTTAATAAAATTCGGGATATCTAACCAATCCAATTATTAATCTGCGTAATTTGCTGTTATTATTAGATGAATTCTCGTCTCGATCACGACTTTGATTATTCGCCGATTATTCAGAGCATCGTGATTAAGTTATAATAAGCTTTCAAGTTCGTTCGTTTTCAATATGCAATATGTCGATTAAGATGCCAAACGCGATAATTATTTAATTACTACATATTTAATACGTTTTCACGATCGATCACATCACTTGTATATCGTATTCAATTGAACACGAAATCGCAGGGACGATTAATAATTTTTATCAATTTAATATCGATTATTTCTCGCTAGTTTCTTTTTTTTTTTTTTTATTCTCGTTTCAGAAAGCGTTTTTCTCGTTTTCACCGAGAGCACGTTTCAATTTTGCCAGATTCGTAGCAAACACGTTGTTGCACAACACAACAGTTTCGTATTAATAGGAGTTCGAATTAAAGACGGGCGTAGCATCCAATCTTAATTGGACGATCGTTTGTTTATATCGCTGGAGGTCGCAATCTACTTGGTTATTTTCTTCCACGCAACTTCACAATTCTATTTATCTTACGCGATGTTTATCGACTTGCATTACAATTCAACAACGAAAAATCTTATTTGTTCAAGATATATATTTTCCATCAAAGATTCCATGACACGTTACTTCTCGTTTCTATTGTATTTTTTTTTTTTTTTTTTTTTTTGTAGAAGGAATTATTACGAGTTATTAAACGATCGAGAGATTTCAATTATTCTCTACGTTTGTAACGAGATAAGAATCATAAGAGATTGCTTCTCGCTAAGGAAATATTGTTCCAAGAACGTTGAAATCTTTCGATCATTAGATGAAATCGCTTGCCTGCAGTATTTTCTAATTCCTGGGATTTTATTAAACGATAAATGATGCCAAGAAAGAAATTCTATTTCCTGGGGAGACCCACGTCACGTTTAAGATTAGAGCCAATTAAAATTAGATGCGTTGATCGTGTATATACGATCGAAAATTTTGTTCCACGATCCTTGCGTTATTACCTTATATATACAATGCGATAATACGTTCTCGAAAATACGTTAAATTCGAATGGAAACGGCTCTTCGTTCTCTTCCATATATATATTATATATATTAATGTACGAGCACATTAACTACCAATGTACGTACAACGTATATGTATATACACATACAGACACACGTGCAGTCCACGCAAGGAAAATGGACGATTCGCGATACATTGTCTGATACATCGCAACACAACATTGTTACGTCCCCCTATTCAAACGTTTTATTATGTGTACGATTTATATGATCGTAGTTAATAAATGAGAAGCAATTAGAGAGAAGGGAGAAATTATACACGACGAGACTTGTTTGTATATTCAAATCGAGAAAAACGTTTCGATATCGATCGAGACTTTAATATGTAATTTTAATTTTAATCTTCTTTTTTTTTGCTGCATTAAATTTTTACCTCGATCTTATTTATTTAATTGTTGATTAAATATACATGTGTTGTGAATTTATTAAATACTATTTTTTTTTTTTTTTAAGAAAAACGACTTATTTGAATTAAAATTACATATTATTATCGTAATTTTTATCTCGGCTTGGAAACCAAAGTTAATCGCGTTAAGATTGATATGAATATGTATTCTCGATATAATTCTCGATAAAAGTTTTTTTTGTAAGTTTTAAGCTACTTCTATATCGGCTACCATCTCTGTGTTAAAGACTTAAACGAATGACATTATGACACACACATACATATATATATATATATATATGAAAATCTATATTTTAAAATATTAAATCGTCTTTTAACACCGTATTTAACTTCGTTGTGCAACGAAGTTTCCTTATTGCATTATTGATCCGATATTAAAAATAAAATGAGAAAAGAAACTAGAAACTATTTATTGTCATAACGTTAAGCACACGTCTGGCATGAAGGGGTCGATATAAGCGTATTATTTGATGAAGCGCGCCAGAAATGTACCAATGAGATTTTACGAATACTGTTGTTAAAATAACCGAGAGTTTAGAGGTTATCTGCGGGTTATTAAAAAAAGATTTTCTCCGAACAAAATAATATAAAGACATCTTTTTCTTTTTTTTTTTTCTTTTTTTTTTTTTCTTCTCTCCTAGTTGAAATAAACAAAGAAGAGTCAAGAATATTTTTCTCTGTATAATCTTTTGTATCATAATCGTTCGTAATTATTTCGTTGTTATTTTAAATTAACGGCAGAGTATATACGGTATATGGAAAGAAATTTTTATCATATCATATATGAAAATGTTTGATTATCTGTAAAAAAGAAAAAAAATTTTATTGACGATTTCTCGCGTTCTCTTTCATCAAAACGAGGGACCAAACTGCGTTCTATGGTAAAGTATACGATATATATATATAGAAGTTCTCTTAGAATCCATATGACGCATAGTTTGGAAGAATTTTTTTCTTCGAAGTAGATTCTATGAATTCTACTGTCGTTAAATCATCATCAATTTTCTTTTCGCGTTATTTGTGTTTTTTAAAATAAAATTTACGAATAATATTTCGATATATATATATATATATGTTTGTTGAAAGAATAAAAAAGTATTGCGAGGAGATAAAAAAATTTATACTATATCGACTTACTGTGGAATATAAAAGAAAAGTATTATCTATTCTGTTGTTTCGTTTCTCTTCTTCTTCCTTTTCACGAACTCGTGAATTCTGCATGAAACTTGACACCGTCTTATTTTGAAATCGGAAACATCTAACATTAGCTTATTTGAACAATTTGATTAAAAAATATTCTCTAATATAGATACCTGATGTATCGGCAAACAATTGTTGTTGAATCAATATTCCTTAGAAATTAACACTCTTTTCTAGCTTCTTCTCGAAATAACCTTCTCTCGCCGCTGATTATTCTACTAAAATAATTAACCAGATTAGTTTATTTAAATTCTCAGTCTTCAAACATTTAATTTTCACACTTGTATCGGTGCAGTTCTTAAACTCAATGAACTTGATCGATGTACACGGTATATATTTTTATAAAACTTTTGTAATTGTAATTTATTCAACGATTCACCGATACAAATTTGAAATTTACAAATTCGTTGAAACGAATGTAAATCCTGAAAGAACGAGAAGAAACCACTGATTTTAAAAAACACACTGATTACAAATTAAAATAATGGGCAAGAAATCGAAAGTGATGATATAATTGAGATTTTTCTATATTGTATCGACAGGTACAGTGGACAACTTGACGTGGAAAGAGTCATCGGTTCCACCAGACTCGTCGAGCAGCGAGACCGGGAAGGAGACACCGCCGGAGGTACATTTCACGGTTGGCGATGGGCCGGACGAGCCTGTCAGATCGTCGAGCAAAGAGAAATCCGGCATTGTCCGTTCCTACAGCCAGGACACGAACATGCTCCTCCCTGTCGAGGATAAAACTACCTCATCATTTCTCTCCAAGACGTCCTACTCGGAGAATTCGTTGGACTCGTCTAACCAGGATCGAGGAGGGCAGCAAAGAGTCGGTCCGAATCCATCCACGGTCCCGGCTCCGAGCGTGACGAGCATCAATTCCGCGAGCGGCCAATCGAGTTCGAGCAACAGGAAGGGGGCATCGAGGGAGGGACAGGCGACATCGATGGCCGACGATGCCGAAACGTTGTCGACCGACTCGAGCTCCACCATGGACAACGACGATCCGAAAAGACGATCCCGCAAGATCCTGTTTGCGTTCAGGAGGAACAAGCCAAAGGTTACGTGGTGAAGAAGGGAACCTCTCGAACCTAGTCAACGCGACATAATACGATATACGTGGTATACTAATCCGTATTGATCTGTGCAACGTTTCTTACTTAACGCTGTTTACATTATCCGCGATCCGATTAGTTATTGTTATTATTGGGTATTATCGAGCCGCGACGTGCACTTAAAAGGGGGAAAAAGAAAACAAAACAAAAAAAACACACACATATAGACAAAAAGAAAAAAAGGAAAAATGGAAAAGAAAAAAAAATGGAAAACGAAGTTTCGTCTCCAAGAACCGGTCGGTAATTGATTAACGATCATGCCCTGCCGGTACGTGTGTAAATAATATGTATACTATGCATCTATCACGTAACACGTGTATACAAATGCGATTAGAGAGACAGAGGTATGTATAGCCGTGTAGAACATCGTTGGAGGAATTCATCGTCGATGATACTTTGGTCTGGATTATTGATGTTCGATGTTGATCTTTATATCGAGGGATTCATTCAAAATTTCATATCAATATATTGAGAGATTATACACGAAAAATAAATATTTATTTTTAAACTCTGCGATATTTCGTATGAATTCATGCACTAACTTAAACTTAGTAGTTTAGAAACTTTAGGAAATTGCGTTTAATTGGTTTAATAAGTAGCACCGTGGAATTTGGCGTGTTAAGGCTTTTACGCATTCACGCCAGAATATTGCAAACGGCACATTGATTGATTATGATGTTAAAAAGCGTGTTGAAGAAGAAACTTCGTTAATAAAAAAAAAAAGAAAAAAAGAAAAAATAGAATTGTACAGTGTGAAAAGCATAATAGAATCGGTATATACCAATAATTAATTATAGTAGTGTCGATAATTTTATTAACTAACGAATATAAAGAGAAACAGATGAATAGTATAGAATAGTTAGTAACTTAGTGAAGAAAAAACGATGTTCTACCGTGCTATCGTCGAGTAGGATGTTTTTGGTGCCCCGGTGTGTCTCCCGTTTTGTTGCCAAATATTTGTTTTGTTCGCAAACGAGACACCACCAAGCGACGTCCTTATCTTAGCTAGTTAGATTTTTTAAATTCGCGATGCTGAATTCTTTAATCACGACAATATTCTGATTCAGGGATGGGCGATCTTTAACACTGCGCTTCCGCTCCCGCGTAACGCTCCCTCTCTTTTTTTTTTATTTTTTTTTGTTTTTGTTTTTCAATTGAGCTTATCCCGCTTATCTAAGCTTATTGCTTGTTAACCTTGAATTTTTTAACGTTTGTGGCGAAAACATTTTTTTTTTAAACGAAACGAATTTTTTCTAAAAAAAAAAAATAAAATTAGAAATTTTCTCTTTCATTTTTAAAACTGTTAGAAAAGGATGTTAATATTATTGACGAAATTGAAATTTTAATTTTAAATGTACAAAGACGTATATTGTAAAAATGATTTTTCTTCGAAGCAATGGTGATACGCTTCTTGTCCATTCCCATTCATTCATGCATTTTCATTTTTAACTTATTTCGACTATCATTTAATTAAATTAATTTTGAAAAATTTTATTTAAATGAATCTTCTCTATGACGACACTCGGCCTAAGTGTATCAATAATCTTCGTGTAAAAACTATCCAACAAATTTTCTTTCGAGAAATCTTCTCCAAGAAGCAATATACAATTCATGATCCCTGTATTATTATGATTTCAATTTCGATTTTTATTTGAAGACAAGCGATCGCTCATTCCTAGATCCTTCGAGTCATATCTTTTATCGCGTAAAAACTCGAAATTGTAACGCATTAAGGCTTTCTATTTTTTTCTTTTTTTTCGCCAATTACGACATTAGTTATTAATTGTGTAGGTATAAATCTTTTTCCTTTTTTTTTTTTTTTNTTTTTTTTTTTCGCTATTATTTTTATTTTTAGACATATTTTTAAGTTTCGACAGTATAGGCCGAGCATAAATCAACGACGCTCCTCCATTTCAAACTTTTTCTTTATTTCTAAACTTCGTTTAATTTTTTTTTTAATATACGTACATTTAAGACGAGACACAATCTCATAAGTTTTATCATTCTTTGCTTTGTTTTTTGCAAATTGTAATTTTTCTTTTCTTTTAATCATTACTTTTACTCACACAAAGTTATTATTATTTTATTCATATTTATTCAAGTTAGCATATTATATATATTTATACTTTATGAAAGAGTTTTTTTCTTTCTTTTCTTTTTTTTTTTTTTTTTTTTAGAAATTTAACGATAACAAAATAATTTTCATTCGATTCGATGATTAAAGTGAAGTGAATATTAAATTTATTGGCGAACTTTACATTTGTAAGGAACAGAGCTGTATTCTAAAATAGGTGATAATGTGTATGTGATAAGAGATACGTCATCTCAAAAGTAATATGATCTCCCTTTTTTTTTTTTTTATTGTAATGATATTTAAAACAAAAGGACACACGAATGTTTCGATTTTACGTGTATATTATTTTTATATTTCTATTTTGTAAAATAGAAATAACAAAGATTTGAGATTGATAATTCTATTATAATGGATTCTCAATTCTCATTTTTTTTTTTTTTTTTTCAAAGTAAGAAAGAAATAACAAAAATTATACTCAACATTCAAGAGAGTGTCATTATTTCTTTTCTTTCTTTTCAAAATTTCAACAGAGTTTATTTACTTTTGACAATATCATCACTATTTTGTTGACATGATTTATCATTTCTATTGTTCATACACTTCATAGGATTACTTATGGGATGATGTAACAATTAATTATAAACGAATTTAGGACATTTATTAATCCTTTGAGGTTCGTGTTGATTTATAAATAGAATATCGTTGAAAAGCAATAATTATTAAGACTTCTTCATTCGTTTTTTCTATACATGACTTTACACAATGAAGTTTGAAAGTATTACTAGATTTAAAGCTCTCAGATAAAACTCAGGAACCTTAAAGGAAACTCTCAGGTGATGAGATTTTTGAGAAAGGAAGAGAAATAAGATTAAAAAAAAAAGAAAAAGAATGATTTTTTTTTCTGCTTGCTCTCATATCACGAGAATACGTATTGACGTTATTTATGCGTTTTTTTTTTTTTTTATTACAAATTACGAAAATTTGCATACGAGTCAAGGCATTTTATGGTCGCGTCTTCGTTTCGACTTCGTACGTCGTTGATCTTCTTCTTTTTTTTTCCTTCTTTTTTTTTTTTTAATTTCACATTTATATTGCGACACCTGTTGTACTTCACTTTTTTTTAGATATTTAGATAATGACTGGTTCGTCTGATATTGGTCATTAGTCATTCAAGGTCATCAACGTCCATCATTTCCATCGTTTCTTAATTCACTGCAAATCTACTGATTGCAGGCATTTCTCTACTTTTTATATTGTATTTTATGACAATAGAGAAAGTCTGACTAATGTCAAAAAAGATTATTGAACGATGTAAAATGAAGGGAAATGAGCGAAATACTGTCCCTACCATTATTTTTGGAATGTTAAAAAATTGTAAATATGAAAATATAAGAGGGAAAAAAGTGATGATAATTCGTATTTTGAAACATGATCTTGAATAACTTGACTTTTGTTTTTTTTTTTTTTTTTTTTTTAGACGGACTGTAAGTTTAGTTAACTTATCACTCCCCCCTCCATCGTACACATACTTCCCTATAATTGCTATGTGTGCTAACGAATGCCGCCAATGGAGTAGTTTCTTCCTTTCTTATTATATGTATATTTTTTTTGTTTTTCTTTATGTCAAAGGCTTTATGTCAAAAAAGGCAAAAAGAGGGGAGAATATTTAAGGGATGATTTTAAAGACTGAAACAAGTACAAAAGTTGGTATGCAAGAATATCCATTCACTCCTTATTTTTCATGTTATAAGCAACTCAACGTTTTCTCTCTGTCCCATCTAGTACAATTAATTAAATGGCTCGTAAGTTGAAAAATAAGTTATGCATACTTTTAAGAAAAGTACTTTTGTATTTATTTTAGAATTGCATCTTAAATCTTCTTCTCGCGTCGTAGGAACATCCTGTACGTGTACACGTGTACACACATACACACATACACATGTATACTGTAGAAGCAAACGCGGCGAGGCTGGAACTCTCTGAAACTTGTTTTCATTTTAAAGAACAAAGACGTGGTAAAAACTTTACCACTGATATGCCCCCTCCTCGTGTCTCATTATCTTTCCGTGAATCGATTTTGTGATATTTTGAAACAAATTCTAACTTCACCAGACGTTCATTATTTATTCAAATTTTAAAACTGGAAACTCGAAGCTTGCGAATAGCTAGGAGACAAAATTTGGAAAACTCCGAGAATGAAAAAAAAACGAAAACACGGAGAGATTTGGACGAATGTATATTCTTTGTATTCCACTTGTATTCCCTATTTGATCTAGACGATTTATCCATTTCCGCTTGATCTTCTCTCTTGTGCTAGCAAATTGTTTTTTTTTTTTTTTAATAATATACGTTTCTTTTCGTCGTGTATTTTCACCCAAAAGTAGCGGATTTTCCATTCACTCACACACGTTCTTCCAGAATATTTCTCGCAATCGGAATCCCGTTCTTTTGCTTCTTTCTTCTTCTTTTTCCTATGCAATGCGCATTCCTTCCTCCGACTTATTGTTTCGATAAATTCGACACTTCGATTCGCTCCTCCTTTAGGCACAAACTGACACATTTGCATCTCAGGATTGAATCTCGATTTTTTTTTTTTTTTCTGGTATAACAACAATCGAGAGTTGTTCTTTTTTCGAGGTATACCTTCGAGGACAAAGATCAGAACATGACTCTGGAGGCGATACCTTTGGAGAGAAGTTTTATCGATTATTGACACGTGAATAATTGTTACGTATTGGATATATTTAATGTTCTTACTGTTCGAGGTTTTCCAGATTTAATTTTAAGAATAAAGCGCAAGGAAATTCGAATTGAATTAATTTGAACGTTGAATTTCTCTAAAGCTTACTATATTATGGTATCGTGCACAAAGGCAAGCAAGATGTGCACAAAGCTTTAACGAGTTTTTATCAAGGTATCGAATTACCAACGTACAAAATACATAAAGTTGGCCGGTAAAAGTATCAAATTTCAAATAAGAGAGGTCAAATAAGTAAATAAGCTATCTCAACTCAAGTTAGAATTTTTAAAATATCGTGTTATTTAATTGTCTAACGTATAATATCGAGTTCATCGCGAAATACAAGAATTACGAATTTCTGGAAATCTCGAATGGTAAAATAAACACCGTAAGATTGTAAAAATCAAGCGTGTATCATAAGAGAGCAATAGACGAAAGGATTTGACATTTAATGGACCAAGTTCGATTAAACGTACATAAGTGAGAGACAAAAATAATAATAAAAATAATAATAATAATAATATTAATAATAAACGATAGTTGGAAGGATCGAAACGATCTTCTAGGCTCAATTAGCATCATAGATAGTAGGGAACGAAGAGATTGTTGTAATTATATTGTTCATATAAACTTTTAACTTTGATGAAATGTTATTACAGCTTTCAAGGGCTTCCGGATTAACACAATATTGTAAAATAATTATAACTACCAATTTTATCGTGATTCACTAGTTGTGCCCACCTGCCAATTTTATTACAAATTACAAATTATATGATTGTTAAAAAAAAAAAATATATATATATATATAAAGAGAAGGTCCAATCTTTAGTTGGAATATTTTTTGAATTTTTTGAAAGTTTTTTGAAAACTGATCGAAATAATAGGCGAGATTACGAAAACATTGTGTTAAATTTTAAAATGTGCGTCAATTAATCTGACCGTTGGGACAATTTTAACGATTTAGTGATCGGCTAATCGGATAAGAAAAATGAAGTAAGTTTGGAAATATCGGTCGATAATTTTCGATTTGCGACTCGATGCATCAAGAGAGTGTAATTTTTTTTTTTTTTTTGTCAATCTTTTGGAATTGAAAAATTTATTTCTGTTCCACGTTTCTCAAAATTATATAATAAAGTCAAATAAAAGACTGCAATGAGCAAATGAATAATAAAATCCTTCAACTTACGATACGTACGATATTCGTGTTTCTCGTTAGATTATTTTCATCCTCGCGATTCGATGGCTGAATTTTTTATTCCAAAATGAGATAAATTTGGATTCAATATCTTGCATCTAGCCATTGTACTACAATCGTGATTTCTCTGAGGATTAATATCCGATATATGAACCATGTTTCGTTTCGTCAAAGATCTTAAACAAGAGAGAGACAGAGAGAGAGAGAGAGAAAAAGTCAAGTCGTTGATCAACCGTGAGAAATTTTTTATAGAATGTGCTTTATTACGAGAGTCGGTATACAGAATATAAAATCAAAAGATCAATTTTATCGTAACACTGTTTGCGATACTTCTCTTCTTTGCGAAGCCGTAAACATATTCCTCGTATTATAAATCCATCTTGACTGAAGAACAAACCACACACCGTCCGAAAAATTGTATACCGTCCTTATAAGGCGAGATCTCGCGCGATTGTAATATCGAGATAGGGCATGTGCGATTATCGATGTATATTCGAAAAATTGAATATGGCGGTCGTTCGTTTATCGATGTGGTGGAATGGTCCCTTGTTGGTATACTTTTTTCTATTTCGAAAAATTCGAACGAAATCAACGAGGATTGTGTAAATAAGCTGAAAAAAGAAAAGAATTTGTACGAGAATAAAATGTGTCAGCTTCGTTTAGTGTCTTAATTCGTGATTAACCTATTAAGTACCAGCTTTAAAATGATTTTCCAAATTGTGAATATTTGATATATAATATATACATATATATTAGACGAGTTCCTTTTAGTGCTTCTTTCGTTTTATCGAATAGTTGTAATAGTTTTTAAGTAATCGTAATAGTATAGTGTTAACCATTCCTAAAAACTAATTAATAATTGTTGAGAATTCGTAATAATTTATTCGAAAAAAACGATTTAGCGATTAAAAGGATGAACATATCTTAAAATATCTGTGGAAATATAATATAATGTAAGTACTTTATATATCCGAAAATAAAGATTATACAAAACAAATCGTTGTTAGCTTAGATGATAAGAAGTCTTCGATCTTTTGATCCTGGCGATCAAGTTTCGCTATTTTTCCTTACGGATTTACTTGGTTTTCTTAGATTTTTAAGTTTTTTTCCCTTTTTTTCTCTCCTTGGACTTTGAACATTTAATTGCATTCTTTTATTGCATAAATGAATTTCTCAAATTATATTGGTGCAAAATCATTAAAAATTAAAAAAAAAAAAATGCAATATACGAGAATAGGTATAAAAATTTAAGAAAGAAAAGAAAATATATTTTTCAAAGATAGAATAATAAAAGAATAGTTTTAAAAGGATATGATAATATAAGGGTTCTTATGATAATATAAGGGAGAAATATAAATGCTGGTACTTAATGGACCTACAGAAGCTCATCACGTATGTAAAATTTGTTATAATATGTATCGATCAAAATGTGTTTTGCAATTATGACATTTATAAAGGACAGTTTTTTAAAATTGTGCATATCTTATTAATTTTATATCATATGAAACCTGACTCCAGTTTACCGATTATTAGCGAATAGAAAGAAAGCGTGAATGGAAGAACGAAAGAAGAGATAGTATGTAAGAAATGAGTAGAATACGTCGTATGTATTATATAATTTAAAAATATGCGTTACTTATAACACATAAATACCAGCCAAAAATGGAGATTTTTGGAATTTAACTTAAAAGATGAATATTAAGTTGTATCCTCTTTTCTTCAAATATTTAAAAAAAAAAAAAATTATAGTTCAAAGAAAATCGTAAAACTTGACTTTTAAATCTTTTGAATGTTCCTGAACTTTGAATTCTTTATAGAATTATATTCGTGAAACATAAATAAATACAGTGTTGTGAAAAATAATTATTCTTTACAATTTAGATCAATAATTTGGACGATTTGATTCTTCTAATTTATATAAATAAGCAAGGAATAAAAAGATAATTCAATAGATACATCCGAGTAATTTATAGAATTATTTTTCCAAATTGCAAAATTTAATTTTTTTGCATTGGACTCAAGTCTCATATTTTTAGCTGGTAACGTATACATATACACGCCTACACGGAAGATTATTCCTATTTGAGTAAGTTGAGAAAATTTTATTCTAGATAAATATTTAAATTATTTCTGTTTTATATATATATATATATATCAATCAAGTATTATATCGTTCGCCAATTTAATGGTGATATAGGGCTTTCTTGTAACGCGACGGAATATATTATTTTAGAAAAAATAAAGGAATTTTATAAAATTTCGGAAGCATCTAGCCGATTTTCGTTTGTTTTTTTTCTTTTTATCGATCTTATTAAAAAAAATCTATTTATAAATCTGCTTTTTTTTCAGGGTAACACAAATGCAACACATTCGTTCGTCATAATCCGCTATTTTATTAGAAAAACGTTATTAAATAGTTTGGACCGGACACACGCGCAAAACATGTTCGGTGTTACGTCGATAATGACAGATGACAAAACTCTTAAACAGCTACTGCAATTTCAATTTCAATTTTTTAACTTTTCGTGATCTAAATCTATTACTACTTGTAAGTACAGTTCAAGACTTTCAGATGCAAATTCTAGTTCTTTCGAAACAATATTCTAAATAAAATTACACTACTGCAAATGATTTTGTCAGGGTTAAAACTAATACAGCGATATACTGCCAATTTAATAAATTTTGCAGATTACTATTTTCATAATAGCAACAAGTTTTTAACGAATCTCCACTATTTTTTCTAATTTTAAACTAAAAATCTAGAAAAGAATCATATATTCAATAGAATTGAATGTACTATAAATAAAATAATGGAATATTTTTTTAAAGAATACAAGAATTATAATCTGGAGGTCTCAAACGGTATTAAATATCAAAACAATGGCATACAAAGAACAATACAATTCACTCATCAACAAATAAGTCCGGTAATAACTAATATTAACAAATATCTTTGTTATTAATTTAAAACCATGTATAAACATCTGTACGCCGTAACGATCTTATAATCTTAGTCTTTAGGTTAGGATGGTCAAACTGTGACCTACTACAGCTGCACAACTTTATAATTGTTCACTTTCGTAATTAACGAACGTAACAATGTACGAATTGATTCTAAGACGGTTTATAAATTCTCAAATAATTGTGTATAATCATCTAATTTCATTTTAAGATGAAATTTTTATATTATAAAGATTATCTTATCACAAAGATATATCAAAGAAATTATAGAAAATTTATCCACCGATTTAATTTTCTAATTCGACTTATTTGAGAATCTATCGACCATTCTATAATTAACAATAATAATTAACAAATAAATTAAGATTATTAGATTATTCGTCACTGGTATTATGATATTTGATTAGAAATCGTAATTACGTGTCCAAATTTTCAACTAGAAATCAACTAGAATCAAAATTAGAATTATGGGACAAACTGTATAAACCATCAGTCTTATGAAAACGCAACACACGCTTATTAACAATTGAACAATGGATTTTAAATACTGATCCCGTAACAAAAGGATTTTCCTTTGAACCACAGACAAAAAAGCGTTCGAGTTTCTATCGGACCTAATAACTTTGTTCAGGAAATAGATGAACGAATAGAAAGAATACTGTGTGCTCTATTTTAAATTTATCGGTAAATAGTACAATGTTCTAATCTTAATCGAAACCTATGTGGAACATCGTGTACTTTGTCGTTTGAGTCATAATTCTCTAGTAATTTCTTATAGTAAAAGCCCCAATGAAATTGACGCACTTTTACATATTTTTGAATTCTTTCTCTCGTATAGAATTAAAATTTTTCATCAAATTAAATTAGTACGTTATATTATTAAATTAATGTGTTGGCTGTTGTGGAATTTATTCGTAATTTTTTAATATTGTTTAAAAATCTTAGATTGTATTTAATTAAATATTGAAAAAGTCTTATCTTTCAAAATACAAAAAGAAAGTAGTATTTTAATAGCACTTTGTATTATGAAATATTAATGTAAAAATTATAAAATTCCTTCAACAGTCAACACGTTAAAAATTCTTGGCAGTATTTAACAAATATGACTACCGTATTTATCCTCTTCGATGCAGTTTATCTATATATGCACGTGTAACGGACGGTCAATAAAGGTAGATCAATTTTGTTTCTTTCACGAATCCAAACGATTTACAATATCGTTTGCATTTTTAATTATTAATCGGTATAAATAATTGTACAAAGAGAATAAAAGTGGTAGAGTTTTACTCTTCCTCCTTCAACGTGTTATAAACTCTTTTACAAAAAAACAATTCAGAAAAAGAATAAAAATGTGATATTCAATATTATATATATTACAATCAACTTTAATCAACAAATGTTTGCCAACGTTGAAAGAAGAATGCGTCGTTCTACATCGTTTCTTCGTTCACCTTAATCTTAAACGATGAGATTATCGCCAATATACAGAGTATTCAATCTCCTCCCTTTCTTTCACACCTCTCTCATTGTCAGAAGACACTTAATACTGAAACCATTCGGAAGCAACGAGACCCATATTTGTAATCTATTATATTATAACCGAATATAATCTCTATAATATAAACCGCGTAGATACGCGTGAAATCAATTTAACACTGCGCTGTATTATCGTCATCTTGTTGATCACTGGTTTCTGCCGCGGAGGGTATAGTTGCGAGGAGTCTGGCAGCTAATCTACTTGGCGATCCAGGTGGTTCAGGCTCTTGAATCGCGAGCTGACGGGTGAGCCTTGGTTTCGACCTGGCTGGTCTCGGCGTATTTCTGGCAGTTACCTCAAGGGACGCGCTGGACCTCGAAATCCTCCAAGTACTAGTGCTAGCGGTGGTAGCGGAACCGGAAGAATCATTTCTGGAAGAGCTGAGATTCGAATCTTGAGACGGTTTTCTAGTGATCAGCCACGAAGAAGCCCTCCGTTTAGGATCTAATAATCTTAACGGTATACCGCAATGATGAGTCTGCCTCCAGGAATCTGACCTCGACGAGGAGAAATTTTCACTGGAGGATACCGATGAGGCTCGTTTGTGTTGTTTCTGTTGGATCTCTGCGATTTGATATGCGTACTGATCGCTACGCGCGTGTCTGGGCCTCGTGTCTCTGGCGCAGGGCCACAATATCCTGGTGCCCCATCGTCGGTAACCGGAACATTGGCTAGCCTCGAGTAATCTTGAATTACATGCACACGGTGTCTGATTCTCTCGCGACGATCTGTCCACCAAACTGTTCGTGTTTACCGGTGTCTGCCTGTTGCTGAAATTCGAGCTATGCCGGCATCTGCCGATCCCCCTGGTCACCCTGGACTCCTCGATCGCCTTGCAAATAAGTACGCAATCTTTTTTAAACTGCTTGGTCAAGATGGCGTACAGAAACGGATTGCAGCAGGAGTTTAACGGCAGTACGAACACGGCAAACACTTTTGCCTGCTCCAGCGACACCAGCTGCAACCCGAATGTGGCAGTCAGCGAGAAGAACGCTATGGGGGACCAGCAGAGGAAATCGGTGAACACCAGCAGAGCCATCCGCTTAGCTATTCGCGAATCATTCGAATTCCACGCTTGGGAGCCCCTAATAGCGCAGTACATTTTCAGGTAGCATCCCATTAATATAAGAAACGCGACGCCGTTGATCAACATCAAAAAGATCACGTATGCTAGCGCCGCGTTCCCGTTAGTCTCGAATGGCAGGCATATAGCAAATTTTCTATAATCCGATACACCGATTAGAGGCAGGCTAGCCATCGACAGTGCAAAACACCAGCCTACGGTCATTATGTAACCTGCATGCTTGAGGGAAAGTCTTTTGTTCAGATGCATGGCATGCGTTATGGCGTAGTTCCGTTCTAAAGTAATTACTGCTAACGTGTATACGCTCAACTCTGAGCTGAGAACGCCTAGGAAACCGGCTAACTGGCAACCGGCGGAAGTTTGCCACGGTATGGCGTACATTCGGAATTCTCCTAGAGTCGAGGCGTCCACTACTGCTAGTAGACCTGAAATTAACAAAAGTGTTACTTGAAATTATAAATTTGGATACATAGGATTTTAAATACGTAGAAAATGATTCTATACCATAGAATGGTATTTTTGCATCTTGCATAGATATTTTTTTTTTTATGCCTGACCTAAATAAATGCCCATGAAAAAATCTGCTGCAGCAAGGTTGCAAACAAGAAACCGAGGAACATCCATCTTGCTTCTGGAGAATATTAACACGAATACTACGGTTCCGTTTCCAAGCATGGCGAGTAGAAATACTACCCACACACCACAACGTAATGTCCACCAGTCGAACAGATCTTGGCACGGTAGAAAAGGACCTGGAAATCATATAATATTTCAAGTCTTTTCTTATATTGTGTATTAAAAGAAGAAGAAGAAGAAGAAGAAGAAAAATATTCATGTTGAAATTACCAGGTTGAGGTAGGCACTGTACGTGAGAAGGTAGTGTTTGAGCTGGCAGTGTAACTCGGTTGTTCTGCTCTTCAAAATAATCCTCAACATATGAGGGCAGGTTACCAGGGTATGTAAAATCTGAACCAAAGTTAGCCCAAAGTTCATTTATTTGCGAGCCAAATTTGTCGGTCATGTTATCTAAAACACGTTATCACTTCAGTGCTGCAAAGTCTTTTTTTTTCTTCTCGTTTGAACGAATTAATGAAAAGGAAAATAATTGAATGATTTTTCTAATAGAAAAATGTGTGTTTTTGTGAACTTGTACTTCTCTTAACGATATAGGAAATTTTTAACATGGCAGATCTAAAATGGAAAATACTATATCTTTTTTTTTTTTTTTGAAATAAATTATAAGAAAATATAATAATATAAAAAATATTTTATCACTTAGTAATTATTGATTCTTTTAATTAATTTTTAAATTCACTTTTTATTCTTATTTTTTATTATACAAATTATCAATGTTATTAATTGTAAAATTCATTTTAAATTTGCCATTTGAATGATCATTGAAATATCATATGATTGATACTAAATGAAATTATTCATTTTTGATTTTTTCAGATGACAAATGATCGAAATTCAAGCGTTGAAATTTACTTATATATAAAATTGAAAATTGTTCTAAAAATTTTATTATTAGCTTATATTTTCTCTTAAATCCTGAATAAATGGATTCATGCGCTTTGCAGCATTTCAGTGTCGATTGACTCATCACTGAGTCGTAACAAGTTGAATTTTAAATAAAACAAAACTATTTTTAGATTACAATCTTTTACAAAACAATACAAAGCAATCTTGTCAAGATGTTTTAAAAAAATAGAAATTTTGGAAACTTATTTTTTTTATTCAAGCGACGAGATGTAATTAATAAAGTATATTTTTAGGTATAGTGATAAAATTAATGATAATGATTCTTTTCTTCTTTTTCAATCAAATGATTAAAATTTTATAGATTACTGATATATCAATGTTTGCACAATAGTTAATTTGATATTACTTTCAATAATTTAAAACAATGATTAAGTAATGAATAAGAATAAATAAAAATATATATATATATATAAATAATAATAAAAATAAACATATTTACAATTTCGAATAGTATATATAACTTGGAGGATTTGAATGCATGAAAGCTCTAAAATATCGAACCACTTACTGAGCTGTGGCCAGATATCGGTGAAACTCGAGTTCCACAAGCTCATATCAAAATCATTGTCAGTGGGGAACAGGATAGACTCTCGAACGGAGGATTTCGTCACCGGATCCTCCACCTCGACCGATAGAAATGAGCAGCAGTGATAAGCGTACGATAATACCATCGTTTGCACACGTGGAAACCTTTCGGGAGCTGGAAATTCCCTCAATGCTGGATTGTTGAATGTCTTAAGATGTAACAGGCCTGATAGCCCTAGCGTTGGCAGTACGGGAAACACGTTATTCCCAAGATTTCTGAAAATTGAGAAAACGAAAAAATTATATATATATATATAGATCAATGAATATCAATAAGAAAATTTATTGAAAATTGTTAGAATTGTTAGATATAGTTTAATCTTAACTTGAATTCTTTTTATTATAAAATTATTAAAAAGAAGGAAATTTAACAAAATTTTTGCTTTAAAAATGTATGGAAAGTACATTATGATTTTTTAAAGGAAGTTTTTTGACTAAAACTTACAAATCCTCTAAATGTTTCGTCTCTTTAAATGCGTTAGGGTGAATGTACTCGATATAATTGCTCTCTAGATCCCTGAAACATAGAATCCTCTTTTTCAAAATGATAACGGCTAGCTATCTACACGGGATTAATTGCAAACGACGACATTTACAACACTTGTAGCCTCGATAAGCCGGTGAACGCGTCACCTGGGATTACTTGCAACTTGTTGTCCGATAGAAGGAGGTCGTGCAACATGTCCAGACCTTTGAATGGCTCATTTGGAAACGACAGAATCATGTTACTGGCCAGATTTCTGGAGGAAAAAGGAAAATTTATTTTATATCTTCAATTTCGTGTACACAATTTTATAAAATTTATATTGTTTTCAAAAGAAATACTTACAAAACTCGTAACTCGCTGCAATTTCGTAAATTTGGCACTTCTGTTAGAAAATTTGATTTCATATCGCTAAAAATTAATTATTTATATTAACAATTAATAGAACATGATTCTGATAATTAATACTAATGAATCGTCGCCAGAAAATTGAACTACTTACAAACTTTTCAATTTTGGACATTGCTCGCATAAATTTTTTGGAACGTTCGTCACTTGTGCTCGATCTAATCTCAGTACTTCCAACGATTTTGTTCCATTCAAATTAGGAAATATCTGTAGTTCTTTTAGATTCGACAGGATCCTAAAAAAATATATATATATTTTCGTCATTTTCTTTAAACTACATACTCGAAAATCTTGGTTGCGATAATTTAAGCAAGATATTTTCTGTTTTAAATAAAGAGTACAAACCATTATCATACATTATGTAAGATTTATCTATCTATCCGATAGTCGATAAATCGCTTATCGAATAATCTATACTCACAGTTTACGAAGCTTGCATAGATTGTGAAAAGTGTTCCCGTGTATTTCTTTGATGGGATTCCCGCGTAGATCGAGCGACAACAGATTAGTGACACGTCGAAAAACATGCTCCTCCAAAGTTTCGATCCGGTTGTTCGACAGCGACCTACGGAACCGACAAAGCATACACGAATACGACTTTCTTGGTTTCCTTCGTTTCGGTGAAAACGGAAAACAAAAGGAACGGGGAGCATCGATCGATCCCTCTTTCGCGATTCTAATTTTTAACAATTTTCCTTTTTTTTTTTTTACATTTGTTATCAAAAGATATAAAACAAAAAAATTAAAGCGTTTCATAATAATTTAAATAATCATGATCACTCTGTGACAAATTTATATGTAAATTTTGCATATTTATTTTTACAATTAAACGAAAACACTATATTCTTCTTTCCTTAGGAGATTTTGCAATTTTCATTTTCAGCAAGGGAACGTTTATTTCGTTCGATTCGAAAAAGATTCTACAGAGTGATAATGAATGATTTAATAGTCGTGTAATAATTTTTATCGTATATTGGAAAATTTTTCTCGATATTTCGGTCGAGATAACGCGGCCATATGAATATGAAATTTTCTGAACGGCCATTAATAATTAAAACGCAGCTCGATAAGGAAATAGTATTCATAGAATGTAAAAAAAAGTTGTCAAATTACATTTTACTTAATCGATGCACACTTACAGGTCTTCAAGGCCAGAGAGCTTTACGATCGCGGTTGGAATTTTTGTTAAATAATTGTCATCGAGTTCCCTACAAAGCAGACAGAGAATTATAACTTTTTAAAAATCGCGGCCACGATCCCATTTTATTATCTTCTTTCGTTTACAGCGAATTGTCCGCCTTTTTTACGTTTTTATCTCTTTTTTTATTTTTCTTAATTTCTTTATTGATCAAATGAATCTTAAGTGAACGAGAGGAAGTTAATTAATTTTTTTTTTCTTTTTCAACATTTTATACATTTGTTATAAACGTAATAATCTAGATCCTCTTTCTTTTTCTTTTCTGCATTCTTTCTTTATCATGATTTTTTCATTTTTTTTTTTTTTATTATTGTTATATTCTGTGCGACTTTTAGAACACTCACAATACTCGAAGGCTCGTTAAGTTCGTAAATGCATCATCGGTGATCGTGTGCAAACGATTTCGTCGAAGTAATCTAGAAAAAAATACGAAAATTCTATTTGTTAAAGGAGAAGGAAATAAGAAATATTACGATAATAAAAACAATAGAAATATTATTGATTTTTTTCTTTTTGTTACTTACAACACTTCAAGATTGAAAATTCTATTGAAGGCACGGGCTGGAATGTCTGTTATATTGTTGCTCGTTAAATCTCTGCAACAATTCAAAACAATTCAAAATTATATTATAAATGAACAAAAGAATCATACGAAGATTTTATTTTCATAATATATATTGTTGCCTATATATAACATCAAATCAAAATGAGAATTGGATATAAATTTTTTCCCTATAAACACGAATGAATGTTTATTTACAAGAGAATTAAAAATTAATTAATCTTGATCTTTTTTTTTTTTGCTGCTTATATTCGAGTCATAGAGATCCAATATAATCGAAATAATTCTGCATGAAACTGAATAGCATGAACGATAAGAACAAATGAATTAGACAAAGAATTGTTCCTAGGCAGTCTAGGGAGACGACTTCATTTTAAAATGGAAAAAAAAAGAAAGGAACATAAGATAAGAAAAAAAAAAAATGAAAGAGAGAAAATGGAAGAGAAAAATGTAAATAGTTATCGTCAATTTTATCGTATTATATTTCAAACAAGTGAACCATCGTTAAATGTTACTGACAAGTCCTCCATGTTTAGTTGTCTTCCCAATTTCACACTCAACTCACGAGACGCGATCAGACGCGGCGAGTTTACGACGGACCGATTCTACTTCGATGCACTTCTTTCTTTATACGTACAATTTGTTCCAAAAATGTGGAAACACCCGTTAACTGGAAATTCTTGAGCTAATTTTTTTAACATTTTCCTTTACAAAAACTTTCGTTACGTCTTTTTTAACAAAATTATTAACAAAAAAACACTGACCAATCACGAAGCACGTAACCACTGTCGAGCTACGATTAGTGGTTACGTGCAGCTGACCGAGCACGAATAAATCCAAGCAATGTGCATCGAAGAAAGTTTATTGCATATTACAGTTTGTTCATTGTTCATAATATAATTCGATATAATTTTTTAACGGTTAGAAAAATATTTGTCAATGTACTTTCTTCGATGTATATCGCTTGGACTTGTTCCTGTTTGACCGGCGGCACGTAGCCAACGTTATCCTCGACTAAGCTACGCGCTTCGTGATTGGCCAATATTTCTTGTTACTAACTCGTTAAAAAAAACCGTAACGTAAGTTTTTGCAAAGGAAAATGTTGCTTGAAATTATCTCAGAAATCTTCAGTTAACGAATATTCCATATTTTTGAGACATTTCGTATATATATCGAATATAACTTTTTCGAAATTTCAGCGATCTATTCATCGCTGATTTATTATACTCGTATCTTTGTATCGTAAATTTTTATACGTGTTATTTCATTCGATTTATAATATTATAATTAAGATGTTCGGTTTACAAATGTCTAAAAATTGGAAAAATGTTATCAAATGGAAAGTTTGTAAAATTTTCTGTGCACTTACGTTTAATTTATTTTTCCTAACAAAAAGAAACAAGAAAGAGGTAAAAGGTAAATCTGGAAAATTTTCTCGATCGTCGTTTTAAATAATCCATCCGTTTTTATCTGGCAATAAAGTGATTTTCCAGTTGATGGTAGGCATATTATCCTTGGTATAGCACCAATTACGCGCTGGTTACCCCTTAATAGCCCCATAAATTCGCCGATATCGAGCATCCAGCCACTTGAACACTACGAATATAGAATAAACTTGTTCGAGTGTTGTGCCTGTTTAAATCGCACACGCGAAACTTGACATTTTTAAACATAGCAATCTAAGCTCTAGAAATATATTAAGCGCCTTGTAGAAACAAGTAATTCTAAATATCCCAGTGCATAAATCCAAATCGAAATTAACTGAATTTAGTTTACTCTCTCTCTCTCTCT